GGACGGATTTAAATGTCTTCTCAAGTATCTTACTGAGAAGAAGCACAAATTTTTTACTTACGACACCAAAACTGAACGTGTGTCAAAGGTTGTCATGAAAGGACTGCCCAGTGGTGAATCCCTGGATCAGATCAAAGATGAACTGGCAAAATTACTTGGAGTTGTGCCACTCCAAGTAATCAAAATGAAAATGAAATCCCGTCCTGGCGATTCGCGCAACGGGATTTCTAATGATTTTTATTTAGTTCACTTCAAGTCTAGTGAACTAAACAACCTTAAGGCCTTAGAAGCTAGCCTTATGCTCCATGTCCGAGTGAAGTGGGAACACTTCAGGAAGACTGGAGGAAATTTCCAAAACCTCACCCAGTGCCGTAAATGCCAGGGATGGGGTCACGGAACTAAAAATTGCTACATGCCAGCTAAATGCATGAATTGTGGTGATTCCTCTCACGCAAAGGACGACTGTCCTGTGAAGGAAGATCCTAAGAAATTTAAATGTTCAAATTGTGGTGAAAATCACAAATCCAATTTTTGGGAATGTAAGACTCGCAAAGCGATCCTACAATCTCGTTCTAACCGACAGGTAAGAAACGCTCCACGTTTCCGACCAGGTACAAATTCCTCTGCTGTTAACAACGGTCAGCGAGGAACAAATTCTACATTCGTACCCGTAGGTACAAATATCACCCCTGCTTCAAATTTTTCATCTGTACCTACTCCCCTCGCTGCTAACAATGTTCAGCGAGTTAATGGAGCTACCTATGCTGCATTGCACCGGGTAGAAATCAAAATACTAACCAAAGTAATTCTAACGGAAATTTTGACAATTTTGACTTAGGAAGCATTACTGCCCCTAAAATGGAATTTTTACAGAAATCATTAATTGACATGATTTCTGATATGCTTAAATCTAACTCCATGTTTGATGCTATTCAAACTGGAGTAAAATTTGCAAATAATATTGTCATGACTTTAAAATTCAGTAATGGATTTTAAAGCATTAAATATTGTAAATTGGAATGCTCGATCTCTTAAAGATAATGAAGACGAGCTATTTAACTTTTTGCGAGTTCATAACGTGCATATTGCCGTTATAACTGAAACGTTCCTTAAACCTGACCATAAGGTTAAGAAGGACGCAAATTACTTGGTTTATAGAAATGATCGTCTTGATGGACCCTGTGGTGGCGTTGCCATCATTATTCATAGACGAATCAAGCATGAAATTCTTTCTTCATTTGAAACCAAAGTTTTTGAAACTTTGGGAGTTTCTGTTGAAACAAAATTTGGACAACTTACGTTTATAGCTGCCTATTTGCCATTCCAATGCGTAGGCCAGAAAAAGAATTTTCTCAAGGGTGACCTCCAGAAACTTACCCGTCATAGGTCTAAATTCTTCATTATTGGTGATTTTAATGCAAAACACCGCTCATGGAATAATGCTCAAAGCAATTCCAATGGTAATATTCTGTTTGATGATTGTTCTGCAGGTTATTACACTATTCAATATCCAAACAGCCCAACATGCTTTTCTTCTGCAAGAAATCCCTCCACTATTGATTTGGTCTTAACTGATTCATGTCAACTTTGTAGCCAACTGGTTACCCATGCTGACTTCGGTTCTGATCACCTTCCAGTAACTTTTGAAATATCCCAAGAAATAATTTGTAATCCCAACAGCTCTACTTTCAATTACCATAGAGCTGATTGGGAGCAATATCGAACATTTATGGAATATAACTTCGATCCAAACATTCCTTTGCAAACCAAAGATGAAATTAATTATGCTCTTGAATCTCTGACTACTTCTATAGTTGCAGCAAGAGCTGCCTCAGTACCAAAATGCGAGGTTAAATTCGATTCAATTATAATAGACGACGATCTTCAGCTCTTGATCCGTCTTAAAAATGTTCGTAGGAGACAATATCAAAGAACACGCGATCCTGCCATGAAGGTTATCTGGCGGGATTTGCAAAAACAAATTAAAAAGCGATTCTCTGCCCTGAGGAACAAAACTTTTGAAAATAATATTTCTAAATTAGACCCGAGTTCCAAACCCTTTTGGAAACTCACAAAAATTTTGAAAAAACCTCAAAAGCCTATTCCAGCGCTTAAAGAAGGTGGTAAAATTTTGATCACAAATTTGGAAAAAGCTCAGAAACTTGCTAAGCAATTCGAGAGTTCCCATAATTTCAGTTTGGGTCTTACTAGTCCTATTGAGAATCAGGTTGCTCGGGATTTTCTGAATATTTTCTCTCGGGAAAATATTTTTGATGATTCCTGGGGGACTGATTTGGACGAAGTAAGGTATATAACTAAAAAGTTTCAAAATATGAAAGCTCCAGGTGATGATGGAATTTTCTATATCCTCATCAAAAAACTCCCAGAGAGTACCTTGTCTTTCTTGGTAAAATTATTTAACAGATGTTTCCATTTGGCATACTTTCCTGATAAATGGAAAAATGCAAAAGTTGTTCCAATTTTGAAGCCGGATAAAAATCCAGCTGAAGCTTCTAGCTACCGCCCAATAAGTTTGCTTTCTTCAATAAGTAAACTTTTTGAAAAGATAATTTTGAATAGAATGATGCTTCACATCAATACGAACTCAATTTTTGCAGATGAGCAGTTTGGATTTCGCCATGGGCATTCAACTACTCATCAACTCTTAAGAGTTACCAATTTAATTCGTTCAAACAAATCGGAAGGCCACTCAACTGGAGTTGCTCTTCTAGACATAGAAAAAGCATTCGACAGTGTTTGGCATGAAGGTTTGATTGCTAAATTGAAAAAGTTTAATTTTCCACTTTATATTATGAAATTAGTTCAAAATTATTTAACTGACAGAACTCTGCAGGTAAATTATCAAAATTCCAAATCTAATCGACTACCTGTTAGAGCAGGAGTTCCTCAGGGTAGCATTCTTGGGCCTATATTGTATAAAATTTTCACTTCGGACCTCCCTGATTTGCCTCAGGGTTGCCACAAATCTTTGTTCGCTGATGACACAGGCATTTCCGCTTCGTGTTATTTGCAGCAGACTGCAGAAAAGTTTAGATATTTTCTCTTCTTATTTACAAAAATGGAAGATTTCTCCCAACGCTTCCAAAACTCAACTTATAATATTTCCACATAAGCCTAGAGCTTCGTTTTTGAAACCTAGTAGTAGTCACATAGTCACTATGAACGGAGTTCCAATTTCCTGGTCAAACCAAGTGAAATATCTTGGATTAATACTTGACCAAAAATTAACTTTTAAAGATCACATTGAGGGCATTCAAGCCAAATGTAACAAATATATTAAATGTGTGTATCCTCTTATAAACAGAAAATCCAAACTTTGCCTGACGAATAAACTTCTAATATTTAAACAAGTTTTTAGACCGGCCATGCTTTACGCTGTGCCAATATGGTCTAGTTGTTGCACTACCAGGAAAAAAGCACTTCAAAGGATTCAGAACAAAGTTCTGAACATGATTTTGAAGTTGCCTCCCTGGTACAGTACTACCGAGGTACATAGAATTTCGAATGTTGAGACTTTAGAACTAATGTCCAACAAAATAATGAATAATTTCAGGCAAAAATCGTTGCAATCCTCAATTGCAACGATTAATTCCCTTTATACTTAGATAAGATTTAGTTTTAGTTTTTAGTTTTAGGATATCAATTGTTATACTGACATGCAGGTTAAAAACCTGTTTAAAATACTGAATTGCCAAGACATGAACAATGTAAAAACACTTAGATATATATCATAAGAATTAAGGCTGGTACGTTACTGCAGTAACTGGAGCACCTAGGTTAAAAATGAAATGTAATTTATTTTGAATTTGGAACAAATAAAGAGTTAAAAAAAAAAAAAAAAAATTCTTGCCACACAATTATACTAATGCAAAAATGGTATAGGCATCGAAAGCTCTCAATTAATAACTGTGGAAGTGCATCTAGAACACTAAGTTGAGAGCACGCAATAAGCTAATATGCGATATACAATAAGCTTGAAATGCGAAGAAGAAGAAGAAAGAAGAACACAATTAGAAATGTTTACCGCAATATCGGAAGCTTAACTGTTCGGAAAAATGTGGGTAATTGTTTTAAAGCTATTTTAAAGCAAAATCTTCACTACAATTACAAGATTTATTCATTTGAACAAAAACGTGTTTTGAATTTTTTTTTCTTTATTAAAGAGACATTCAGCCTTGGGCTGGTTCGTCTTACGTGTTTTGAAATTATTTTTAAGCAAAAAGGCTTTAAAATGAATATTTAAAAGTTTTACCGAACATTCAGCTGTTTCGGTAAAAAAATACCGATTTCATTTACTCCCTGACGATAATAGGTAAAGAAGTGCCGCAGCCGTCACTTCCCCTATGTTGAAGTTTGTATTTTAAGGGTTGAGAATTTCGATTGCTGTCACATACATTTCTACACTAAATGAAGAGCTGTGACAGCTTTTGTGAAACTGCAGATCCTGCATATTGATAGGCCAGCAGCGTGCAAAACCCGAACCAAACTGTTCCAACATCAACTACACCGCAGTGCCAACGGCGGTGACTCGACAGCATCTGCTGCCCATCGACCGTCCAATCGGATCGAAAAAAAAACCTGTTGCACATAGTTTTATAATTGGAGAATTTATGTTGCATTCTCTTGGCTGCTTCGAGGCGAACGAGGGGGTGACGTTTCGACCAACATTGAAGGGCTCGCAGCAATATTGGCTTCGATAAATAACTCAGCAGAGCCCCATTGTTGCTGCTGCTGCTGGTTTGGGAGAAATGGTTGAATGGAATGGAATTAGTTAATTTATGATAAAACCACTCTCGTGAAATGGAATGGTTTCGAATATTTATGCCACACAACTGGCGTGCGGTAGATGTTATCATGTTGATTTTAAATCGATCCATATTGGATAAATTTCAAAGCACCCACAACAAACTGCTCTTCCAATTAGTTCGCCAGATTTTATCGCTGTGTGTACTGAAAACCTTGAAATTGTTTCCCCTCAGATGACTCTACGTGCCGTGACGAGGATTTCACCTGGGTTAACAACCGTTCCGAAGCACCGAAAGCTACGATCGATTCGGACCGTCGATCGACTTCTCACACCACCATCGGAGGTCGATCAAGCCGAAGCCACACTCACGGCCATGAACCCAGCTTAAACCGTAATCTCCTGAGCCCAGTGCTGGCTCAACCGGGAGCTCTCGGCTGTGGCAAACCTCCTCGTCCCATGACGGGTAGCCTGGATAGAAGACGCCATCTAGGAGCGAATCGCCACGAGCGGGACTCCAAAAGTCGAAGCACCCACTCGCTCAAAGACAAGTTCTCTTCCTCCGAACTCCAACAACAGGACTCCCACTCCAGCAATTTGAGCTTGAACTCCAAAGGTAAATCCTCCAGCAAGCGATCGACCAGTGTGAAAGGATCGAATGATAAACTTTGGAATTTTCAAGAACACCACAATGACTCCGGAATCTACCACAACTACAACAGCAGCGGAAGTAGTCATCACCACCACCACAACAACCACAACAACAACAACAACAACAACAACAACAATAACAATGGTCAAAGGCAGAGCCCGGGGATATGGGAACCTCCACCGCCACCACCAGTTTCTCACTGGGATCCGCACTACTACTGGAACTGGAACAACCACCACCAGAGCCGAGAGGAGCTGCGGCTGATCGACTACCACCGCCGACAACAGGCGGAACTGTATCGATACGGCAGCAACGGAGCCCTTAGCAGCACCCAGGACTTATCCTGCTCCAGTGGATGCTGCAATCGTGCGTACTACCCACCACAGCCACCGCCCTGTTGCTCCTGCGAGCACAGCCGACCCATGTGGGGCAAGGACTGTCAGGTTGGCACTATTAGAGTGAGAGCTTTGCGAAGAACCGTACCCTTAAATCGCTTGACATATTCTCCTATTTAGCAAAGATCACTGCCTAACATTGTTTTTCCTTCTGTTTTCTTCCACCGAAATAGCGTCAGGACACGGACGAGCGACTGCGCCGGTTGCAATCGGACAAGGAAGCCATGGCCCTGCAGGTCAAGGTACTGACCGAGCAGGTCCAGACGCAGGGCACCAAGATCGCCGATCTGGAGCGGACCGTCAGCGAGAAGAACCAGCTGCTCTCGAATGCGGACGACCTACTGCAGCGAGTAAGCCAATTTGCCAAAACCGTTGGCATCCAGATTGACAAACAGAAAGTACCGCGATTATATTTTTTTTTCAACACCCTTTTTGAGTTTACTTTCCTTTCTTGTAGTTTCCAAGTTTACGTATCTCTTCTTCTTGTTCTCTTGTTCATAGCACACTTGTTACGTTGAATTTTCGTTGTTTTCTCAATTTCACTTTCGCTGGAACTATCCAGAATGTCTCTATCAGTGTTTTGATGTAGATTTTAGATCATAAAATGTGCTCTGCATCTTTAGAAAGCATGTAGATGTTCCTTTATCGTTGATGTCGTCAGTAGAAGTTTGTCAGATGGTTGCCACGATAAGTACATTATATTATATTTTTCAAAATTTTCGACCCCAAACAATTAGCTTACTTCGTCATGAGGTTCTTAACCATCTAACAAAAATCAATTTAGGGTGAATGTTGCATGACTGTATTTTAGTTGGAATGTTTGTTGCAAATGCACCCTAATACGCTCTCGTAGTTTGTATGATACTAACCTAGCATAACAGTAAGTTAACTCGAAGACAACATGTCAATAACCCTAGTAGCACGCTTGTCGCAAATCAATTGTAGAAACTTATATACGACTTATTTAAGTCATAAACAAGTTGCTGTAACTTATTGTGATGAAAGTACGCTGCTCGGGAAGACTGGCAGCTCTGCTGTCAGTATCCACACGCTATTTTAAAACTACCCAAATTTCGGGTAGAATCCACCCAGATCGGTCAAAACTGATCTTACCAAAAGTGGGTAAACTGTGTTGGGAGTGACAAGTTGACAATTGAACAAAGCCGATCGGATTCATGTCGATGTTCTACATTTGTCACCTTGTCGATCCCAACATAGTTTACCGATTTTTAGGTAGTTTCAGTTTTGACCGATCTGGATGAATTCTACCCAAATTTGGGTAGTTTAGAAATAGCGTGTCAGTGACACGTACACACGACGAATAAGAAAGAGCCAAATTTGGGTTTAGTTTACTTATAAATCACATAAAGTGCAGGAACTCAGCGATGAATAAATTTGCTTCGTGTTTTTCCAGGGTTTTCTGGGTTTTTCGTAAATATGAGAAAAGTAAAGATTGGATTCACTCAGTATATTGGTACTAACGGGTGTTCAATAAAAAATGAGATTTTTTTTCTGTCATATAACAGTAAAAAAAATTTCAACGAATTTAGTATTTTTTATTAAAAACATAATGTTTATTCTTCAAAAAAACGTCAATGAATATTGGAAAAGAAGCCCTGGTCAGCCGTACGACGCAACTTAGTCGCGATGCTCTCACAAGAGCGCTGGACATCATTCTCATTTTTTATTGAACACCCGTTACTCTTAGACTGCGTAAAATTTTCGTCAATTTTCCTCTTTTCCGGCAGATTTTTGAGGTTTTCCACAGGAAAACATAAGGCAAATTTACTCATCGCTAAGTTCCTGCACTTTTGGCGATTATGAGTGAACTAAACTCCAATTTTGGGTTTTCTCATTGGCCGTGCAGTAGCGCTGCGCTAGAGCAAAGGTAGATCCTCCACATAGGAAAATCAGCAAATAAACTAACCTATCAAATTCGATCGGAGCTTTCACCTTTGAGTAGCAGGGTTGCTTCCACTCACTTGCTATACAAAAATGATTTTCGGAATTTTTAAATCATTAGATGTTATAAATAAAAAAATTACTTGTTAGATAAAAGAATATAATGAAAGGCAAGTGTTTGACACATAAAACCTATCAGTTTCGTATTCAAAGTGTCACAATCAGCGATTTTATTATTCGTGAGCGTTCACTGAGAGTGAGCGCTCGCGAGTCGCTAATTGTGACTATCTGCAAGCGAATTTGACAGGTTTTATGTGTCAAGCACTTGCCTTTCAACCTCTTCTTGTATCTAATATGTACAAAATATCATTATAACATCTAAAACCATTTTTTATAGCAAGTGAGTGGAAGCAAGCCTGTTGAGCAGTAGATGGCGAAATTGTGAAAAGGAATCTTACTCAGAGAGTAAGTCACTTTTACTTATTCGTATGGAGCCCATTCGAAAAGCGAATACAATATATCAAGAAGAATAGCAAGTTTTCCATTTTCTCGTACGACCGCTATGAGACAGGTACAATTGCGTCATCTGTCACTCAAAGGTAAATGCTTCGAACGAATTTGATAGCAAAGATTACATCCTCAGAAGAAAGGTTTGTGTATTTGCTCATTTTTCTATGCGTTGCTTCCACCTTCGCTCAAGTGCAGCGCTACTGTCTCTGTCGCTTGGATCCTGGCAAAGTGGCCAGTCAGACAGACAGACAGACAGACAGACAGACAGACAGACAGACAGACAGACAGACAGACAGACAGACAGACAGACAGACAGACAGACAGACAGACAGACAGACAGACAGACAGACAGACAGACAGACAGACAGACAGACAGACAGACAGACAGACAGACAGACAGACAGACAGACAGACAGAAAGACAGACAGACAGACAGACAGACAGACAGACAGACAGACAAGACAGACAAGACAGACAAGACAGACAAGACAGACAAGACAGACAAGACAGACAAGACAGACAAGACAGACAAGACAGACAAGACAGACAAGACAGACAAGACAGACAAGACAGACAAGACAGACAAGACAGACAAGACAGACAAGACAGACAAGACAGACAAGACAGACAAGACAGACAAGACAGACAAGACAGACAAGACAGACAAGACAGACAAGACAGACAAGACAGACAAGACAGACAAGACAGACAAGACAGACAAGACAGACAAGACAGACAAGACAGACAAGACAGACAAGACAGACAAGACAGACAAGACAGACAAGACAGACAAGACAGACAAGACAGACAAGACAGACAAGACAGACAAGACAGACAAGACAGACAAGACAGACAAGACAGACAAGACAGACAAGACAGACAAGATAGACAAGACAGACAAGATAGACAAGACAGACAAGACAGACAAGATAGACAAGACAGACAAGACAGACAAGACAGACAAGACAGACAAGACAGACAAGACAGACAAGACAGACAAGACAGACAAGACAGACAAGACAGACAAGACAGACAAGACAGACAAGACAGACAAGACAGACAAGACAGACAAGACAGACAAGACAGACAAGACAGACAAGACAGACAAGACAGACAAGACAGACAAGACAGACAAGACAGACAAGACAGACAAGACAGACAAGACAGACAAGACAGACAAGACAGACAAGACAGACAAGACAGACAAGACAGACAAGACAGACAAGACAGACAAGACAGACAAGACAGACAAGACAGACAAGACAGACAAGACAGACAAGACAGACAAGGCAGACAAGACAGATAAGACAGACAAGACAGACAAGACAGACAAGACAGACAAGACAGACAAGACAGACAAGACAGACAAGACAGACAAGACAGACAAGACAGACAAGACAGACAAGACAGACAAGACAGACAAGACAGACAAGACAGACAAGACAGACAAGACAGACAAGACAGACAAGACAGACAAGACAGACAAGACAGACAAGACAGACAAGACAGACAAGACAGACAAGACAGACAAGACAGACAAGACAGACAAGGCAGACAAGACAGATAAGACAGACAAGACAGACAAGACAGACAAGACAGACAAGACAGACAAGACAGACAAGACAGACAAGACAGACAAGACAGACAAGACAGACAAGACAGACAAGACAGACAAGACAGACAAGACAGACAAGACAGACAAGACAGACAAGACAGACAAGACAGACAAGGCAGACAAGACAGACAAGACAGACAAGACAGACAAGACAGACAAGACAGACAAGACAGACAAGACAGACAAGACAGACAAGACAGACAAGACAGACAAGACAGAAAGACAGAAATTCATATATGTATATTAGACTGCCAATGAATGTATGGGAAAAATTTGACCATCAAATTTCGCTAACAAACCATATACAAAATGACCCTATGCAAAATTTGAGCTCAATCGGACATGATTTAGGGGTGGCGCAAACGCGTCAAAGTTTGACTTTTTTCACTCTCGAAAATCTCTCAAGGGGGGGGGGGGGTAGGGGTACATGAAATTTCGGAAATCAAAAAAAAAAAATTTTTGATTGCGAATGTCCTAAAAATGCATGAAACGTCAAGATTTGGTGTTATCCCTAAAAATTTTTTTTTTTCAAAAATCGACTTTCTGGGACTTAGAATTTTTTCATGAGTTCTATATGGAATATAGAAGATTGATGAGTCGGCTTCTAAAACTGTTCACAATGGATCACATCATTCGAGCAGTTTAAAATGACGTTTCCTACGACTCGAACTTTAACGTGGAACAATATTTTGATATTTTTTCTTCTACAACCTCGAGAAAATAGGGTCTTATTTGTTATATGCTTGAAAAATCTGGAATTTATTGTTTCATTTCCGTAAAATCGCTGGTAGAAGGTTGTCCCAAAACTGCTCGACAATATGATTAATTGTCTCCAACCTGCTTATATATCGAATTAAACCACCATTTAGGATCTAATACGAAATAATTCACTAGGGTGGTCCAATTATTCTTCATTAGAGTGGTCCAAAAATTCAAAAATATATGAAAAACCATAACTTTTCATCAGAAATTTCTAAAATCAATTGTAAAAATATCTTGAATTGCGTTAGTCTGTTTTTTTTTTGGGAATCATGAGTTTTACACAAGAGGAACATTTGCCTGAAAAGATGAAAAAATACTTGTTTTATACTTTGCCATATATTTCCTTATTAGCTACACCAAATCAGATTTCCTGGTACTCTTATAATTTTTTCGATGATCTTCAACTAATTGTAAAATGCCCTGCTTTTGATCTTCATCCGTTGATAGTTTTGAATTGTATGTTTTAATCAGTGCTATACCACGCTCTGCATTATCATTAACTACTTCCAAACATTGAACCCGTCTTTTGGCATTTTTAAACTCGATGGAACTACTCCACTGCTCCATATCGACATTCAGCAACGACTTCGGAATTTGGAGAGCTTTGAA